AGAAAATAAAATTATGAAAAATATTCAGGATTCAATGCCGACTCTCAAAGTAATAAAATTAGATGCAGATTTTTCGAGACCTTCGGTCCATAATTCGACGCAACTTTTGACGTATTGGAATGTGTTTAACGTGTGATAATGAACTAATAAATCAATAATCATCAACTACATGCTTTACTTTATCTTATTTTACTTCATCTTACTTGTTTGATAAAGTTAGAGATACTTCACTTTACTTTACTTTACTTTACTTTACTTTTCGGATAAAGTAGATCTACTTTACTTTATCAAGTAAAGTAAAGTTAATCTACTTTACTTTATCGGTAAAGTAAAGCAGCTCTACTTTACTTTACTTTACTTTATGAAAGCAAAATAAAGTTAAAGTGCCACCCCTAATCATAATGAAATCATCCAATATCAAAATATTAATGAAATAAGATATTATTAGGAATATAATGATGTCCATACCATTGACACGTATATATTAGAAGTTACATGCGAACCCAACCATCACGAAGGATTTGCTAGAGCACCATTTCAATCAGCACTCAATGAACATGATATGAAAACAACAAGTTCTATGAAAAAAAATGCTTTTTTACGTATGTTATATGTTGTGCTAAAGAATATAACGAATCAAAGTAATTTTTTTGGTCAACAACCAATGGTTAAGGTTGTTTCTACATTAGCGTGACTAGCTGAGATGGGTCTATACTAGGAGTGGTAAATTAGTGTTAGAATTACAAAAATACTAATGCTTTAAGCATTAGTATTAAAATTAAGCTTAATGCTTTAGCGTTATTGGCATTAGTGTTAAGTAATGGATAGATGTTAGCATTAAATTAGCCCTATTTTTAACACTAATACTTGGATTCGGAAAACAGTACAAAATTGTTCTGTTCTTGGGAATATGACTCATCGATGACTCATCCGTGAGCCATATTTCCCCAAAACATGAATACTTTGTTCTGTTTTTGGAAAGTATGACTCATTGGTGCCGCACAAATGAGTCATTGATGAGTCATATTCCCAAAAATAGAACAATTTTCTACTGTTTTCTGAATCCAAGTATTAATGTTAAAAATAATGCTAATTTAATGCTAACACCTATGCATTACTTAACATTAATGCCAATAATGCTAAAGCATTAGGCTTAATTTTAACACTAATGCTTAAAGCATTAGAATTAGTATTAATAAATGCTAATGTTAATTCTAATGAACCACCCCTACCCAGTTAGTTGAGGAAACGCTGTTCTGCCGTTAAAACGATGTTTAATGTCATATCGTTTAAACGATGATATATTGACCTAATTACGCGTTTATCACAAAAAATGATTTTGTATGTCATAAAGTAATATTATGCTCTTGTCGTTTAAACTTCGAATTGTAAATGTCATAAATTGTGATTCGTTGATGTTAAAGCCATAATTTTTTATTATTTCATCTGTCGTAAACGATTCTTTACTCGAAAAAAAGGTTTGATATTCAAGAATCATCTTCGTCTTACTTGTAACTTGACCATTCATCTAATTTTATTAACTTGATGATGGACAATACACGTTCGTACTTTTTCTCAATATCTCAATACATTCCAATGAGTAGGTCTCCTTTTGTTTTCGAAAAAGCATAAGTTAAATCTTTAACAAGTTAAAATATTTATTTAAAGAAATGAAAGTTCGGCATCTATATAACATAAGACATGAGTAGAAGTCTTTTCTACAAACTTTTCTTTTTGTTTTGATATTTGTTCAAAAGACTTCTACTCATGCCTTATGTTTTAAAGGTGCATGAACTTTCATTTCTTTAAATAAATATTTTAACTTGTTGAAAATTTAACTTCTGCTTTTTCGAAAAAAAATGAGACCTACTCACTAGAATGCGTTTAGATATTATAAAAACCTGACTACACTCTTTCTTCTGACACATCGATCGTTTTTTAGAGTTTTTTTCTATACTCTTCGTAGGTAATTAGAAATTTGTCGATCGCTCAAGGATGATGCGTTTGTCTTACATCTGATAAATATTCTATCGAAATCTTCTCAAGTTTTCGTTACTAATTCTCAAGTCTAGTTTATTCTAATACTTATGGAGAAATATATAATTACCTACAAAGTTGTGATTTATGATAATCTCGATGAATAATGAAAGAAGAATCTAAATTAGTTTATTAGTATCA